CCGAGCCAAAATCAGTCAGTATTAAGGGTATTAAGATCCTGGTTGAAGAACTAAAAGGAAATTTAGGGGCTTGGCATCTGTAGCTCAGCTGCTAGTGTGCTAGCCACATACACCAGAGCTGGCAGGTTTGAACGTAGCTGGGGCCTGCCCAAACAGCAATGACAACTACAACCAAAAAATATATGTAGCCGGCGTTGTGGTGGGTGCCTGTAGTCCCAGCTACTTGGGAGGCTGAGGCAAGAGATTGCTTAAGCCGAAGAGTTTGAGGTTGCTGTGAGCTGTTAACTCTATGGCACTCTATGGAGGGCAATGTAGTGAGACTCTGTCTCAAAAAAAAAAAATTTAGATGGGTACAGCAGAAGGTATTGAAGGAAAATAACCTAGGTGGTGATGCTGAGAGAAATCAGTTGGTGATAGATTTACTGAGGTGGAGTCATGGCTGAGCCCTGATGGCGAGCAGGATCTACCGCCTCCGCTAAGCAGAGCTGGCCTGCTTTTCTTGCCTGCTGTCCACAGCCCAGCCGAGGCCCTGACCGCCTGGATCTGCCTGTGACTATTCGCTCCAGCCAGCGACCCTTTGAAGATCGAGAGAGGCAGGACCTGGGTAGCCCTGAGGAACGGCTACAAGACAGCAGTGACCCTGACACTGGCAGCGAGGAAGAAGGTAGCAGCCGTCCGTCTCCGCCCCACAGTCCCCGAGGTGAGACCCTGGCGGAGACGTGGACTAGAGGTAGAGTGCGGCCTGAGTACAGGCCTTTTGGCTGTGGCTTTCAAATGGGCCCCAACTGACCCCTGCAGCCTGTAGTTAAATCTAGGGAGGGACACAGAAAGGACTTCCTGTTTTGTTAGGTGATGAGTGGGTGGTGGGACTCCACGGACCAGAGTGTGTGGGAGCCTTTCCTACAACAGATGGGTGATTCCCAATCTTTTTAAGCAACCACAGATTTTGTTGTAAGAGATAAGGTATCACTGTGTTCCCTAGGCTGGACTCTTAACTCCAGGGTTTAAGCCTCTTAAGTAGTTGTGCCAGTAGATATGTGCCATTGTACCTAGTGAGAGATAGACTTTTAAAGTAAAAAAATTGTAGGCCAGGTATGGCAGCTCATGCCTGTAATCCTAGCACTTGAGAGGCCTAGGCGGGTAGATTGCCTGAGCTCACAGGTTTGAGACTAGCCTGGGCAAGAGCAAGACCCTATCTCTAACATACAGCCTGGCGTTGTGGTGGGCACCTGTAGTCCCAGCTACTTGGAAAGCTGAGGCAAGAGAATCACTTGAGCCCAAGAGTTTGAAGTTGCTATGAGCTGTGACACCATGGCACTCTACTGAGGACAACCAAGTAAGACTCTGTCTCGGGTGGCGCCTGTAGCTCAGTGGGGTAGGGCACTGGCCCCATATGCCAGAAGTGGCAGGTTCAAACCCAGCCCTGGCCAAAAATAAATAAA